AAGAGCCCCAACGTGGAACGCGCATTAAAAGGTCACCAGCTGGACGTGTGCCAGCCTCCATTGCGAGACCGGTGTCTTGTTTGTTCTTCAGGGCAGAGCTTCCTAAACGCCTCGAGTGAAACGAATAAAATCGGAGCTTACGAAATCTCAAGAAACCCCTTGAACTATACACAAGATTCGATGACTTCAACCTTCCTGTTTCACGGCAAGCATAGTTGCTTCGCCGTTTGTAACTGTACAATGCACCAGCATTGTCCCAGATGGTCATGGAAAAGCCGCTTTTAATTCAGTAATGAAGTAGTAAGGCAAGCCTGAAGCACGTATAACAGGCTTTAAAAATTGGCATCTGCGGCTTTCTTATCAATGAATAGAAGCGTTGGGTTGCGAAATCATATCGAGGGTGTATCTAAATTTGTCTGTAGGACAGAACCCAGAGCTGTGCATGTGAATGCAATGAGATGTAAGCGCACGCTTGCCTGTGCAGAGCAGTTTGGATGATGATGATGATGATGATGATGATGATGATGATGATAGTAACAATAATCGTAATAATAATAATGAAGAGGAGGAGGAGGAGCAAGATAGAAGGCAAAATCACATAAGATGATAGAAAAAGCTGAGACAGTGGGCCATAATTGGACACTAATCTGCTCGAGGTACAGAAGAGACAAGGACGATTGGGAAAATCGTTGGAATCGAAGATGCTGGATGGATGATAGCCGGTTGCATAAATAGGATATGATAAGGGCAGATATGGGCAATGAATCCGATAACAGGTTGAAATCTGTAAAGGTTAATGCAAAGATGAGAGGGTACAAGGTGCATGCGTGTACATGTATACGTGTCCGTGTCCGTGTCCGTGTCCGTGTCAGTGTTTAGATGGTCAGGTATGTGTATTTTTATGAAATAAGAAGCATACAGCTTGTAAGAAAAAAGAAATTAGGTAAATGATCGCTTGTGTGCATTAAAACTCAGAGGCCCAAAGAAGGTCAAAGAGAGGGCCAGCCGTTTTAATACGTATAATAGGCGCTAGTTGGAGACGATTAAGGAGAGCATGAACAGACTACTTATGCAGGTGCACATGTAAAGAGTAAAAAAAAAGCAGGAAATGGGGCTAGAGCCGGGTGATGGGAATAAGGCGTGATGTAATGGATGAAGAAGAACATACATAACCAGACTGGAAGACAAGAAAGTGGGGGCTATCAAATTTTATACAACTGGCCGGATAGCCTCCATACAATACTAAGTTGCCATTAGCTAAAATTGGTCTTCATGTATATATATATATATATATATATGAGCGTGTATGCTTATTCATGAATGTATGTGTATAGGTATGAATAAAAAAATTCGACAGGGTGCAGGGTAACCAGCGGTCGATGTGCTCATTCTGGTCACTTGCCTTTTGCCCTGATTTGGCGTAGACAAGGGAGTAACTAAAGTCAAATTGACGGAAGGCATTATTACAGCGAATGACGATCAGGCCTTTTATAGAAATAAACAAGAAGTAGCTGGGGCGAATTGGGAAGACAGACGTCGGTTGACGCAAGGCTGGCAGATGGACGGGAACTCGAAGGGTCGGAAGGATCACAGTTTGTTCGGCTAACGTGTCGCAGAGGATTCAAGTGAGTCGACTAAAGAGGCCACTACGCTTCGTTTTGACGCCGCTGGAGCGTGTTTTCGAGGAGTTGGCCAACTTCAGGGGCAGATTGCGGCGTACCGACTGCTGCTGAGGATACGGGTTTCCAGCTGACGGCTCGGTAGGTTCGGCCGCAGTAGAGGTGGCAATGCCGCCCGGAGGATGTGAATGCCTGACACCTGCGCCGCCAACAGTTGTGAACGAAAGTCCGGCCAACTCGGCTCCGAGACTAGAAGGACTGCTCGGCCCGGGGCCAGAGGGACCGGGACTGCCGGTGGCGCCACTCGATGCCGAGCCAAAGAAGTGACTAACACCACTGCCTTTTTGCATTCCACTCCCCGAATAGTGAATTTGCGAGTAGCTCACGGACTGACCAGCTCGAATCTTTAAAAAAAAACAAGTCCCAAATAAAGTCTGGTAAATGGAAAGAAGAAGATAATAGTATTCCTCACCATTATACCTACAACCAACGCGAATAAATGATCTGTGCCAAGTCCGTAGGCGCAT